GAAGGAGAGAATGTAAATAATTGAAGGTGAGAAATAACTTTGTTGTGAAGATAAGATTTGTGCTGGTGATAGCCTCCTGATCAAGGGAGTGAGATTTCACATGGCAGTTTGAGTCCTGGCCCCAGCAGCTTGAAAAATATGCTGGGCACTTACGCATGTGTACCCAAAGAGCTAACTGGATGGAGAGATGAGGAAAAGGGGTTATGGCATGACCATGCTCCGTGGTGGTGGGGTACTTTCTCCCTTTCTTCCTTTTTCTCTTGCTCTCTCTCTTCCTCTGGCAAGCATCTGTACCTTCTGGCAATTAAAAAAAAATGAAGACTGGTCTATTTGGGGATGGGATAGAGGCAGGGCCTGCCTTCTAAGCTTCCGCCAGCTTCAGGGCTGCGTTGACCCCACAACCTGCCTGAGCCCTGCCAGGCAGACACCAGAGCTAAACTACATGACGCAGAGTTGCCAGGGGCTCTTCAGAATAAACAGGCCAAGAGAGGTTGGGCAAGTTTTTCAACGCCACACTGCAGATCAGTACCGTGTGGGCCCGAATCAAGGTATGCTGATCCTCTGCCTCCCCAAACTGCCTCCTCATGACACCCCCTGCCCCATAAGCCAGCATTTTAGTCACACGTGGGTGGGATGGGTGTGAGTGTGGGGAGCAGAGCTATTCTAGTCCTCGGGGTTGGGCGCTGCCTTGGAGTCCAGCCAGGGGGTGGGGGCGATAGTAGGCGAGTGCTGTGGTGTAAGGTGGGGGTGCACTGGGCCCACCTACTTGTCAGGCAGTAATTACTCAGCCGGCTGAGTAACAGGCAGGGGGACCCCCAGGGACAGATGGAGGTGTCCTCGGCCCTGAATCCTCCAATGTCCTCCAACATTGTCACATCTATTCTTTTTCTTTAAATTTGTTTTAGAATTATTTTATTTAACTTTATTTACTTAAATTTCACCAGAGAGGGACAGAGTGGAGAGAGAGGGAAAAAGTGACAAAGCACACTGCAAGGCCCAGGACTTGAACCACAGTCAGCCATGTGGATGTCCAGCACCCTTAACCACCACACCACTGGCTGACCCCTCTCACATCTATTCTTTTATTTTTTTTTTTTTTTTTGAGAAGTTTTTGCTATAGGGCACGTGCACTTGCCAGACAAAGACAGAGAGACAGAAAGCGAGAAATCACCCCCCGGGGGGATGGCCACGCCGCAATCCCTTCTCCTCCATTCTCCTCTCGGGATCATGGGCAACCACGTCCAAGCGCCCAGCGTGAGTTTAAGCCACCGGGTCCGGGACTCGAACCATGGTCGACTACGTGGGAGTCCAGCGACATAGCCATTACGCTAACTGCCGGTCCCTCACATCTGTTCTTGATGTCTGGTTCATCTAGGCATTGCCAGGTAATGGGGCCTGGGAGAACTTTTTGTTTTTGTTTTTTAGAGGTTTTTGCCATAGGGCACATGTGCTCGCCAGACAGAGACAGAGAGACAGAGAGACAGAAAGCGAGAAATCACCCCCCAGGGGGGATGGCCACGCCACAATCCCTTCTCCTCCATTCTCCTCCCGGGATGTTGGGCACGCACGCACATGCGCCCGGCGTGAGTTTTAAGCCACCGGGTCCGAGACTCGAACCGCGGTTGCTCAGGTGGGAGTCCAGCGACATAGCCATTACGCTAACTGCTGGTCCCTTGTTTTTGTTTTTAAAACAAGCTCTGGCAAGCTTTATTAAAGAAAAATGGTGCATGGTTTACTTTTCACCGGTCTGTTCGGGCATACTTCTAATATCGGAATCCCCTGGATCAATGATAGCCAGTGTGCATACTCTGTCGTATTTTCCACATGCCGTGCCCCATTCAATATTATTTCCACTGTAGTGATGGACACCAGTTTTGGCCAACACAGCATAGTACTCTATTTCAGATTCCTCAAAGCTGGGCAGTTGTTGCGAGGATGACCAACTTGGCTTTGCCTTGTCTGATCATCTTCAGAGTCTGCTAGTACCTCAGGATGTAGTTCCCACTTTTCATAACAAGTTGGAGCCGAGAGTTGATCGACTCCAGCGACTTTTTCGTTTTCTTTGTGGCCACCGTCTTCCTGCCTTAGGTGTGGAACAGCCCGCAACCAAAAGCAGCCGCCAAGATGGCTGGGAAGCAAGAAAGTGGGAGAGCTTTTTTCCACAGAGGCTATGGGGCAATGTTACCAGAGCATGGGACCTTGCTCATCAATGGACCCCACTTTTTTCTTCTAGAGGTTTTTATCTTAGGGTGGGAACACTAGCTGGGGGGAGAGAAAGAGAGAGAGAGGAGAGAGACAGTGAGAGGGAAAGTGAGAAATCAGCCCCCAGGGAGGATGGCCATGCTGCAATTCCTTCTCCATCCTCCTCCCAGGATCTTGGACATGCACGCACACGCGCCCAGTGTGAGTTTATTTTTTGAGAGATATTTGTTATAGGGCACATGTGCTCCCTGGAGATACAGAGACAGAAAAGGACAAATCAACCCCCAGGGGAATGGCCACACTGCAATCCTTTTTCTTCCATTCTCCCCTTGGGATTTTGGGCACGTATACATGTGTCCAGCCTGAGTTTTAAGTCACCAAGTCTGGAACTCGAACCACAGTGGACTACGTGGTAGTCCAGTGACATAATCATTACTCCATCTGCTGGTCCCCCAGTGTGAGTTCTTTTTTTCTTTCTTTTTTTTTTTTTTAAGAATCTATTTTATTTTTAAATTTGACCAGAGATAAACAGCGAGAAAGAGAAAAAGTGAGAATGCAAGCTGCCAGGTCTGGGACTTGAACCACAGTCAGCCATGTGGGAGTCCAGCAGCTTAACCACTATGCCATCTACTGGCCCCAGTGGGCTCCACTTCTGACAAGAGAACAACCCTAAGGGCTAGGGCTCTGCTAGGGAATTATTAATTTAGCTGCAGCAAGGTCTAAGGCTGCCCACAGTCAGGGCTGTGGTGTCTGCAGGAAGAGGGGCCGGGCTCCTGGTGTCCTGGTGTTGGGATCCTGCACCATGGAGTCCAGAGAAGCTGGGAGGATGGGAAGGTGCAGCCTGACTCTAATCAAGGTGAGAGGGGATGTTCTTTGGACCCATGTTGGCCACATTTCTGTCTAAGGTTGTAACTGTTCTGAAGGTGCTGGTGGCTGAGGGGCAGAGCACCTACCCCTTCAGGTCCTCCCCTTGACTGCTCACTCCCAGCCTGCCTAGCCATCCCTCGTTTTTTTTTGGGCAGCCTCCCAGGCAGGGCCTGTCCCTGGCTGCTTGTTTTCACTACTCCCTGCACCTTAATTAGGGGTTTCCAAGCAGAGAGGGCCTCTGGGGGAGCCCGAGGCCACAGAGCTGCTTTAAAGGCCCAGCTGTGCTCAGCACCACTGTGGAGAGGAGGTTGTGCCGGGGCTGGGTGGGCAAACAGCCCTGGGGAACCATTGTTCTATGGGTAGACTTTGCTGCCGGCAGTCCTGCAGGTATTCCACATTGCTCTTCCAAAGGTCAAGGCTGTCTCACCTGCTCCTCTGCCTTCTCTTTGGGATCCCAGGAGCTCAAAGGAGAAAGGCAGTTATCTAGGCCTGAGGGGGATGCGTAGGCAGGACAGGATCTGAAACCGCCAAGCATGAGAGTCCTCAGGCTGCCCCATTCTCCCTGGAAAGCACCCTCGGGCTCTAGGCCTTCCCACGAGCCTGTTTCTTCCAGGTGAACTTTCCACACTGTGGATTCTAAAGGTGATAAGGGCAACTGAAGTGGAAGGTAGGCTCTGAGTTCTGTCCTGCCTTGGCAGTGGGGTCCTCCGAGGTAGGGAGGTAGGGAATGTTGCCCCGCCCCCACCCGCGGCCAGCGGAACTACCTGCTTATCAGGACGTGGGAACAGGAAAGGGGGGCTGAAGAAAGACATGATAGGTGACCCCATTTACGAGACTCGGCCTGCACAAGTCGGGCAGGGAGTCGACACAGAAGGGGTTGCAACGCTCTGGTGGTGCCAGGTTCAGACCAGGCCTGAAAGGTGAGTGAGGACCGGAAGGAGAGCACAACCGCCACGAAAAAACCCCAGAGAGTTCGGACTTGAAGGACGAAAATGGGTCTCACTGTTACCCCGCCCCCTATCTCCTCCTCCATGGTCCCTGCCCAACGAGAATCCCCGCCCTTGCTAGCCGATCGGTGATCGATCGCAATGTCTGCACTCTCGGCGCTCTACCGGTGCTGCCTTTTTGGTCCCCTCGTGGGCAGGCGGGCGATGGCGGCGCTGGTTGTGTCCGAGGCGGCAGAGCCGGGCGGCCGAAACGGCCCTGGCAGAGGTGGGTGCTGCAACGCTGCGGCCTCCGGACCGCCCTCTCAGAGTCGGGCCCCCAAGTCAGGAATAAGACTAGCCCATAAGACGAGCCCTTTTAAGGGCGGCAGCGCCTTTCTCCGCCAGACCCGGAAGTGCTCCCAGTTACTGGCTCTGGGCCACCGTCACTGGAGCCCGGGAAGGTTGGGCTTTAGGGCTCTAATTCTGCTTTTTTAGGGCGCGATCGGGACCTCTCCTAGGAGCTTGTAGTTCTCCCGTCGGAAACCACCCCTCTGCCTTGGCCGGCAGACGGAGGCATGAAGATAAGACCGACCCGAGAGAAGGCAGGGCCAGGCCTGTTGCAGCGGGCATTTAACAAGTGGGCCCCCAAGGGATGCTTTTGGGGAAGAAGCTTTAGGGTGGTTCCATTCACCAGGCATTACCAGAGCCCGCTGCCAGCCTGCTCTCGATAGGGACTAGGGTACAGCCCTGCCCTGAGGGATCTCACGGTCTTACCGGGATACTGATGGAAACACATCGTAGCCACGATGTGATTAAGGAAGAGGCGCCTACTGGCCCTGAAACTAAGCTGCTAAAGCTAGTTCCTCCCACACTCCAACCACCACAAGGAACCTGGGCCTGTCAGAAGAGATTCTGCAGTGTCCCCAGGAAGCTGGGCTGTCTGTCCAAAGCCTTTGAAACAACTGACCGTAAAGCCTAGCAATGATAACATTGGAATGTGGTCTCAGGACCTTAGCCTGCCAGACGTCTCTGCACCACCAAGCCCCACCACTGCTCACCCACCTCCCCACACCAGGGGTGAAGCTCAGATCTGAGAGTCCTCCTATCACAGGGACCCTAGTGTAAGTTCTGGCACACTGTATAGGCTGAATAAACATTTGTTGACTAAATTAATTTTTACCTTTTTTCCATCCCCAAACCGCTTCCTAAATACTGGATGTTGAAACAAGCTTCATTGTAGAGAGTAAGATGATTCCAGAGTAAGGGCTGCAGCCTTGTTGCAGAGCTATGTTTTCTTTTGGGGGGATGAGGGGCATTGTAATTATTTGTATATCTGCCTTTGCCCCGACTAGATTTCTAGCCCCCAAAGGTCAAAGGGCTTTTGGTTGTCCATAGTCCTTACAGTAGTGCTTCCTTTCCATCCTTCCTGGGTTGAGGGTAAGGGGGAACAATGGAACTAAGGAATTTACTGTCAGTTAAATGGAGGGTGTTGGGGCCAGCAGATGGCGTGGTGGTTAAGGGTGGGTGCTGGACCCCGACTTGGCCAACTGCAGTTCGAGTCCTGGACCTGGTGGCTGGCTTTCTCACTTTTCCTCTCTCTTTCTATCTGGCTCTGTCCCTCCCTGGTCAAATTAAAATAAGTAAATAAATAAAATTAAAATAATTCTTTAAAAAATAATTAAAAATACACGTAGGGTTGGGACCAGCAGTTGGTGTAATGGCTATGTCTCTGAGCTCCCATGTAGTCGAGTCCTGGACCTGGTGGCTTAAACTCACGCCGGGTGTGGGTGTGTGTGTGTGCGTGCGTGCCCAAGATCCTGAGAGGAGAATAGATGAGAAGGGATTGCGGGGCCAGCAGGTGGTATGGTAGTTAAGGGCGCGGGACTCCCACATGGTGGACTGCGGTTCAAGTCCTGGACCTGGCGGCTTGCCTTCTCACTTTCCCTCTCTCTCGCTCTGTCCCTCTCTGGTCAAATTTAAAATAAATAAATAGATAAAATTAAACAAAATTATTATTTAAAAGAGAGAGAGAGAGAAGGGATTGCAGCGTGGCCATCCTCCCTGGGGGGTGATTTCTCGCTTTTTGTCTCTCTCTGCCTTTCTGGCAAGCACACGCAACTTATAGCGAAAACCTTCCCCCCCACCCCCTGAAAAAACATACATGTAGGATGTTTATTTCCCTGTTAAGTGAGAGGGAAGCGTGCAAGAATTAGCCAGACTAACCGATGTGGATAGTCAGTAGGACTCAGGTAAAGAGAGCAGTCTTTATTATTTTTGAAATATTTATTTATTATTCACATGAGTTTTGCCAGAGAAAGAGAGAGGGAGAGTTAGAAAGCAAGCCACCAGGTCTAGGACTTGAACCGCAGTCGGCCATGTGAGAGTTCCAGCACCTTAACCACCACGCCACCTGCTGGTCCTAAGAGGGCAGTCTTTAAATTAATACTTAGAACAATTTGCTTAGAGATCTCATATCTAGGACCTCAGAACTTCTGAGTGTTCTCAGGAGATGTGGGAAGTGGGTTTTCTCTATCACAGAGCAGGTGTGTGGACTCGGACTGGCTCCCCTTTGCCCCTCAGTCTTCTGGTATCATCTCTACTCTTCCAACAGGGGATGAGCTGCACTCCATTCACGAGCACAAGTCTTTGCTTCCCAGTGATCTCGTGACATGGGAATTAATTACACAGATTTTCTCCTGGTTTAATGAGTTGTCTCTATTTTCAGAATGAATTCAGTGGAGAAAAAAGTTGGGCCATGGTCCTTGGCATCTAGGATTTGGGCCTTAACAGATCGTGAATGACTTAGTTGAGTCTAGCCAGACACTGACTCGGGTCTTATATTCATCCTAGGTCGGGTCTCTCGGGGCCGCCTAGCCAATCAGATCCCCCCTGAGATCCTCAACAACCCCCAGCTACAGGCAGCCACCCAGGTCCTGCCTTCTAACTACAACTTTGAAATTCCCAAGACCATCTGGAGGATCCAACAAGCCCAGGCCAAAAAGGGTGAGCCCCTAAGCACTGAGCTGGGGTGGAAGTGGAGAGGTTGCCTGGCCCAAATAGGGCCGGTGACTGCCCCTTACAAGCCTCTTTCTAGTCCTTCACCTCTGACATCCTTGCTCTGTCTTTCAGTGGCCTTGCAAATGCCAGAAGGCCTCCTCCTCTTTGCCTGCACTATTGTGGATATCTTAGAAAGGTGAGACTTGGGGTACTAGGGAGGGAGCTGTGCAGGACCGTTCCCATGTCTGTTACAGCTCCGCTTGTTCACATCATTTTTCCCTTTTCCCCTCCCACAACTGTACACACAATAAGGGAAAAATCCAAAACAAAACTCCCAGCTCACTGAGGTCCCTGTTTACCAGTGTAAATCTCTTTTCTCCTAAAAAATTTGGGAGAGGGGAAGATGTTGATTTCCTGTCTTCAAAGCGAGGCCCAGAGCAGGTGGCAGGACCTGGGGAGGAACCTAAGAATTCTCAAGGCCAACACTTAAATGAGCTGAGTGGTCAGCCAGGGGTCCGACTGAGGGGTACCTTTTTCTCTGGTGCATTTGGGGAGTAGGACAAGGATGGATTTGGCAGCGGGACAGAGGCCTAGAAGAAGGCGTTCAGTTCCTCTCCCCGCCTTGCGCTAAGTTTGTTCAGTGCGATGAGCCATCCGTGGAAGGGAGTGTGTGCTCTGCCATCTGGAGCCAGCACAGGAACAGGGAGGGAGGACGGAGAAAGGGGAGGTCATCTCGTGCTGGGAACCTCCCACCTCCCTGCTGCTGCCCTCCCCCCACCTTGCTCCCCCACCCCGAAGCCAGGGACTCATTTCCCTGCTCCCCCCCTCTTGCCCCTTGGGGATGCTCTCTGGGGTTCAGGCCAATTTGCATACATTTTAATCTATAAAAAATTAAGTGCTCTGGCTGACTCAGATGCCTGGGCTGCATTCTAAGGAGCTGAATAATCTGCTTCTGTGCATACCCTGGTTTGGGGAAGGGGGTGGGGGAGGGGGCTGCCTGGCAGCCACTCAGCTTCCCCCACCACACTCCTAGGGGGTCAGTATAGGGACCCCAGTCACCAAGCCAGACTCCTGCCCCAGCTGTGGATCTCTTTCAGGGTAGAGCTGCTCTTCCTGCTCTAATGCTCTGGTGAGATCAGGGGCTGCAGGGTCTTCCCCACCCACCCCCGCCCCCCAGTGATTCAGACCTGGCAGCAGATCCCATGGCAATGTGCTGGCCAGAGCCCACTCTTCCTGACGCATGAGGCGTGTGGGCGGTGCCATGTGCTGTGGGGGAGCTGTGCCTGGGTCCCCCCATCCTGAGAACCAAGGCCTCTGCCTGTCAGTGGGGAGAGAGTGGGGGTCGGGGTGAGAGCGAAGTGTATGCGTCCATACGTCCATGCCCACGCGTGCCACGATGCTAGGGCGTGGGAGTGGGTACGTTTGCGTGTGTGTGTGCTCCCTGCTCTGGGGGGGATGAGTCAGGGCACCGGGGTCTGCGTTTGCCCCCGTGTATGCCAGGCTGAGGGTTGGGGGGCCTCTTGCAGTCTGAGCCTGGATAGAGGCATCCATGCTGCAGAGACCATCCTCATGCGGCAGCACTTCCAGGAGCTGCTGCCAGGCCCGAGGGAGGTGGCAGCTGTGCCCCTCCTACTCTGTTGGTAGAAGTGGCAGCTGCCAGCCCAAGGAGTTGGGAGAAGTAGGGAGAGGAGCTGGGCCCCGACACACCTCCAGAGGTGTTCTCTTTCCCAGCTCACTGTGTTACTGTCCTGTTCTCCCCACCACCGTAGGTTCACAGAGGCCGAAGTGATGGTGATGGGCGATGTGACCTATGGGGCTTGCTGTGTGGATGACTTCACTGCCAGGGCCCTGGGGGCCGACTTCCTGGTGCACTACGGCCACAGCTGTCTGGGTATGGCGGGCCAGGACACCTGGGCCCGGAGAGCTGGCAGGGAGGAGACAGGCTGCATGCTTGCCTGCTCCATCGCAGTGCCTTCTTGTCCTGCTCGCAGGCACTGGGCCCTCCTGGTTTCTGGGACGGCCTGGCCTTCCTGCTCTGCAGGTGGATCTTTCCTTTGGATATGGTTGCCTTGGAAACTGTGCTGCTGTCCCAGATGCCTGTATTTGAAGGCTGTTGGTGGTAGAGCAGGCTGGGCCTCTGGCCGAGTGACAAAGAAGCTTGACTGAGAAGGAGCGTCTCTGGGACCTGTGAATCCCCCTCCTTCCCAACCCCCAGGCTGAGCACTGGTCCTGGCTGCTCCAAGACCTCCGCCAGGACCAGGCCCTCTGCCTTTCCTCCTTTCAAGACAGTCCTCTAAACTCTCTCCTTCTAGTTCCCATGGACCCCTCAGCCCAAGGCCTCCGGGTGCTGTATGTCTTTGTGGACATCCGGATAGACACTGCCCACTTTCTGGACTCTGTCCGCCTCACCTTTCCCCCAGCCAGCACCCTGGCCCTGGTCAGCACCATTCAGTTTGTGTCAACCTTGCAGGTGAGTGGAATGAGGGCCCCCACAGCGTCCAGGGGGCAGACGGCGGCCACTTGAGGCCGTTCTCTGGCCCTGGCTCCCCTCCGCAGCTTGTGTCCCTCCTCTCCTGCTCACTACAGACAGCTGCCCAGGAGCTGAAAGCTGAGTATCATGTGAGCGTCCCACAGTGCAAGCCCCTGTCCCCGGGGGAGATCCTAGGCTGCACATCCCCCCGACTGCCCAAAGAGGTGGAAGCTGTTGTGTAAGTTAAAAATGGGGGCCAAGTCATAGACATTCAGAAAATGGATCCTGGGAGGGAGCTTGAGACTCCTCACAGGAAACGAAACAGCCAGAAGCTCCTTAGCTGCTTGCCCAAGGTCGCACTGCCAGGTGGGGATTAGTGTCTCCCCCAGTGCTCTGTCCACCATCCAGAAAGCTGTGCCTTCTCGGGGGCAAGAATCAGAGGGTCTGATGGGGGGATGAGGGTGGGCTGGAAATGGTAGGAATGTAATTGGAGAAGATGGATGGTCACGCCCAGGCTGCAGCCCCATTAATTTCGCATCCGGACAGCTAACAAGCAGGAGCGCCGCGTCTCCTGCTGCCTAATTATTTTAGGTAATGGAAATGCTTAATGTTGTGTGAATGCAGCCAGCCTCAGCGCCGACAGCTCCCCTGGCTGGGACTGGGAGGGGAGCCCCGGTCCCAGCTAATGGCAGGCAGGGAGGGAGGGGCACTCCTGACTCAGCCCCTCTCTGGGTCTTCAGATGCTGATCCCTTAAACCTTGCTGCACCCACACAGGACACCCCGGCCCCAAGACAGGCCCACATCAGGGCCTTCCCCAGCCCAGCCCTGGCAGCCCTGCTCCCCGAGGGGCGTTTTCCCCCGGGTCCATGCCTGCCTAACTCTGAGTGCACAGATGCCTACACTTGGGGGCATCAAAGTGCATGTTGAAGGGAGGGACACCCTGAGGGTTGGCCATCCATCAAAATGTGTGTGGAAAGGTTTGGTTAGGGACAGCATCTCCTAGGGCATGCTTGGTACAGCCTGGAGTCACATAGCTGTGTAACTCTGGGCACGAACCTCAGTAGGATCTTTTGTGAAATGGGTATACTAGGTATTCCCATTTGGAAGGTTGTCTGACAGGCCTAAGTGAAGTTCTACGTGTCCGGTACTTAGTCCAGGCCTGCTACACAGAAGGCACGAGTCCAGTGACCGGTGGCTGTTGTTATGACTTGGTAACAACCCAAGAGCGAGATGTGGCAGAGTAGCCAGTGGCTACCCTGAAATGTCATTTCCAGCATAGATGACACCCTGAGTTAAAAAAGGTTGGTAAGGGGGACTTGGTCTCCGGCGTCTACAGTAGGTTCTCTATAGCCCCATGACCTTCCCGTGGGCTTTCTGCTCCTTTCCCGGTCTTCCACAAGGTTGGGGCGGGCAGTGCTTAGATTTTGCATTATGTAACTGGAGGGTGCTTATGGTCATCCCAGTCACACACCTTTTTTTTTTTCAAAGTTTATTTTGTCCTTTGTTCTATGAGACAGACAGACAGAACCCTTAACAGGGTCTTGACATCACGATCTACCCCCCGTCTCAGGCGACCCTAGGCCTTGGTCATGCATATGCCTGGCATTTGGGGAATTCTCTGGGCATGAACCAAGAATCTTCCCACGGGGGTCAGCCTCCAGAGTATTGTCTTACCGCTGTGCCACCATTCACCCCCTCAGATTCCTTATTATTTTTTTGGAGAGGTTTTTGCTATAGGGCGCGTGCGCTCGCCAGACAGAGAGAGACATAGAGACAGAAAGCGAGAAATCACCCCCCAGAGGGGATGGTCACGCCGCAATCCCTTCTCCTCCATTCTTCTCTCGGGATCTTGGGCACACACGCACACACGCCTGGTGTGAGTTTTAAGCTACCGGGTCCGGGATGTGAACCGTGGTCGACTACGTGGGAGTCCAGGGACATAGCCATTACACTAACTGCTAGTTCCCTCAGATTCCTTATTTTACATGTGATAAAACCAAGGCCCTGAGAGGTGAAGTGATGGCTTGTCCTGGTTTACACTCAGAGTCCCCAGCACAGCCTCGGGGCTCTCAGGTCGTGCACACCTCCTCTGTGAGTCCATGTCACACTTACGTCTCCTCTCCACCCGGCAGGTATCTTGGAGATGGCCGCTTCCATCTGGAGTCTTTCATGATTGCCAACCCCAGTGTCCCTGCTTACCGGTAAGGGCTGGGCTGGGTGGGCCAGCTGGCGAGGGGTGATTCCCTGCCACAGAGGCTCTCAGTTGGCTGAAACCTCATTCCCTGGCCACCAAACAGCCCTCAGCCCTAAGGGTCTGAGGCACTTGGGCATTAGCGGCAGGGCTGCTGCTGCCTACTGTCCCCTGGGATTCACACTGACCAAAAACGCTCCCCTCTCCTGTCTGCTCGGGCTGCAGGACTGATTTCCCAGTGACACCCCTGCTCTTGCCTCTGTTCCTAACTACCTGCATGGAGCCTGAAGGTCCAGGAATCCAAGGGGCTGAGTCAGGGAGCTGGGTA